CCAACTAAAAATATATAGAAAAAATTAGCCGGGCATGGTGGCACATGCCTGTAGTCCCAGCTACTTGGGAGGCTGAGGCAGAAGGATCACTTGGGCCCAGGAGTTTGAGGTTGCTGTGAGCTAGGCTGACACCACGGCACTCACTCTAGCCTGGGCAAAAGAGTGAGACTCTGTCTCAAAAAAAAAAGAATGATGGAGATCCCAAGATGATAGTTGTATGTCAGACGGAAAACAATTCCTGACTGGAACAGGCCAGGAGGCTCTGAAGAAACTCTTTAAGAGAAATGGAACTGATACTACGTGAGAGAAGATATAGATAACTAATAGAGTTTGGTACTGAATTAGTTTTAAGTATATGTAAACCTAAGAAACCCGCAAACAAACAAAAGGAGAATTAAAAATTCCAGGGAAAACAAAGAGTTGTAGGAAAGTTAAAAGAATCACAGTTTACTACACTGCCCAGCTAGGAATAACATTTATATTGCCATAGCATTGTACACTGATCCAATTAAAACAGCAACACAACTCTACTGGGAAGATAAGGGATGGAAATGATGCATGAATGTGACAGGGAAGGGAAGAAAACACAAGATAAATTACGATGTTCCACTATGGGAAGTCAATAAATAATGTCTAAAATAGAAAATCAAAAAGTAGAAATAAAAGCATGCTATTTAGAGAAGTGGAGATAAATATCACACTAAGAGCTAAGAGACGAAAGTGGAGGAGGGGTTACTGTTAAACTTATGCCCATGCATAACTGATAAAATTAAAAAGTAAAAAGAAACCAGATCAGGAATTCCTCTGCTCAAAGCCCTCTAATACCATTTCATCATATTCAGGATAAAATCCAAGTTCCTAGCCCAGGTGTACAAGACCTTCTTCACTACACCACCAGCATCACATACCCATACACACCTCTCTCTGCCCTCATTCCCATGCTCTCCTACTGCTTCCCCCTCCTGCACTCTGCTCCAGGGACACCGACCAAGCAAGCTCCCGCCTGACTCAGGGCTTTTGTATTAATACTTGCTCTCTGTCTATCACACCCTTCTCCCAAACACCCCCATGGCTCACTACCTCACTTTATTCGGATCACCTTATCAGCAAGGCCTCTTTTGACTACCC